CAGAGGGTGGAAGTACAGAGGCTACGGTACAGAGGCTGCGGTACAGAGGCTGGGGGGTACAGAGGCTGTGGGTACAGAGGCTGGGGGGTACAGAGGCTGTGGGTACAGAGGCTGGGGGGTACAGAGGCTGGGGGTACAGAGGCTGGGGGTACAGAGGCTGGGGGGTACAGAGGCTGGGGGTACAGAGGCTGGGGGTACAGAGGCTGGGGGTACAGAGGCTGGGGGTACAGAGGCTGGAGGTACAGAGGCTGGGGGGTACAGAGGCTGGAGGTACAGAGGCTGGGGGTACAGAGGCTGGGGGTACAGAGGCTGGAGGTACAGAGGCTGGGGGTACAGAGGCTGGGGGTACAGAGGCTGGAGGTACAGAGGCTGGGGGGTACAGAGGCTGGAGGTACAGAGGCTGGGGGTACAGAGGCTGGAGGTACAGAGGCTGGAGGTACAGAGGCTGGAGGTACAGAGGCTGGGCGTACAGAGGCTGGGGGGTACAGAGGCTGGGGGTACAGAGGTTGGGGGTACAGAGGCTGGGGGTACAGAGGCTGGAGGTACAGATGCTGGGGGGTACAGAGGCTGGAGGTACAGAGGCTGGGGGGTACAGAGGCTGGGGATATAGAGGCTGGGAGATACAGAGGCTGGAGGTACAGAGGCTGGAGGGTACAGAGGCTGGGGATACAGAGGCTGGGAGATACAGAGGCTGGAGGTACAGAGGCTGGAGGGTACAGAGGCTGGGGATACAGAGGCTGGGGGATACAGAGGCTGGGAGATACAGAGGCTGGAGGGTACAGAGGCTGGGGATACAGAGGCTGGAGGTACAGAGGCTGGGAGATACAGAGGCTGGGGGTACAGAGGCTGGGGATACAGAGGCTGGGAGATAGAGAGGCTGGGGGGTACAGAGGCTGGGAGATACAGAGGCTGGGAGATAGAGAGGCTGGGGGGTACAGAGGCTGGGAGATACAGAGGCTGGGGGTACAGAGGCTGGGGGTACACAGACTAAGGTCACATACAACACACTGACAGCTTAAAAAAATTACAACGGGCCGGAGACCCGACCTTTCCTTGTCCGTTGGCAGGCCAGAAGAAGCAGGCTGTGTGTCCAGGGCACCACCAGGACACCTCTAGGGCACCAGCAGGGCACCTCTAGGACACCAGGGCATGGTACCACCAGGCCATGGCACCACCAGGCCATGGCACCACCAGGCCATGGCACCACCAGGGCATATCACCACCTGGCCTTGGCACCACCAGGACAGCTCTAGGGCACCACCATGACACCTCTAAGGCACCACCAGGCCATGACACCGTCAGGACACCTCTAAGGCACCACCAGGGCACCACCAGGGCATGGCACCACCAGGGCACCTCTAAGGCACCACCAGGGCACCTCTAAGGCACCACCAGGGCACCTCTAAGGCACCACCAGGGCACCTCTAAGGCACCACCAGGGCATGGCACCACCAGGGCACCTCTAAGGCACCACCAGGGTATGGCACCACCAGGGCACCTCTAAGGCACCACCAGGGCATGGCACCACCAGGGCATGGCACCACCAGGGCACCTCTAAGGCACCACCAGGGCATGGCACCACCAGGGCACCTCTAAGGCACCACCAGGGCATGGCACCACCAGGGCACCTCTAAGGCACCACCAGGGTATGGCACCACCAGGGCACCTCTAAGGCACCACCAGGGCATGGCACCACCAGGGCATGGCACCACCAGGGCACCTCTAAGGCACCACCAGGGCATGGCACCACCAGGGCACCTCTAAGGCACCACCAGGGCATGGCACCACCAGGGCACCTCTAAGGCACCACCAGGCCAGGGCACCAGCAGGGCACCAGCACCGCCAGCAGTAGCGGGTAAAAGTGTAACTTAAGGGGAGACTGTATGACTGGTCTTGGTGGGTTTGTGTGTGTGGTGAAGGTCAGTGAGCGGACCTGCTCACTCCCATCATCTTGTTTTCCTGCTCTTGTCCTTCTTCCCAATCTCTCCTTCCCTCCCCTTTTTTCTCTTTATCATCCATCTCTACTTCCCTCCCTCTCCCTTCCTCTCTGTCTCTATCCCTCTCACGTCAGCCTTTCCAACTAAATTGTATTTTTCACCAGTTTTAGAATTTTTATCACCAGCAATTATGATAATATTAATAATAATGAATAAAACTAATGAAACAGTAATTAAAAACTAATGAAACAATAATTAATAAAACTAATGAAACTAATAAAACAATAATTAATAAAACTAATGAAACAATAATTAATAAAACTAATGAAACTAATAAAACAATAATTAATAAAAATAATGAAACTAATGAAACAATAATTAATAAAACTAATGAAACTAATAAAACAATAATTAATAAAAATAATGAAACTAATGAAACAATAATTAATAAAACTAATGAAACAATAATTAATAAAACTAATGAAACAATAATTAATAAAACTAATGAAACAATAATTAATAAAACTAATGAAACAATAATTAATAAAACTAATGAAACAATAATTAATAAAACTAATGAAACAGTAATTAATAAAACTAATGAAACAATAATTAATAAAACTAATGAAACAATAACTAATAAAACAAATAATAATAAATCTCTGTTATTATTTATTATTCCAAAGCCATGATTGTTCACAGTCCGTGAAAAGCCATAATGCTATTTTGTTTTATTAACAAGCTTAGGTACACACAGCACTGTGCTGCTGCTGCCCTATTCTATAGGAAAGATTACACAGTGTAGATCAAACACTAGCTACATGTGTCTATGTATGTATTAACACGTTGTACTGAACGGGGTGAGAATAGCTTGAGCTACCTCATCCCTTTGTGTGTATTTTACCTCAATAAACTTATTTCAATTTCAACACTAGCTACAAGTTCATATCTAATATTCCTATCTCACAGGATGGTTAGTCATACATGGAGTGAGAGGAGAACATTAAATGTAAGGCTGATCTATTAGCCTCCACTAGTACACTCTGGGTACAGCTTCAGATATTACTAATTGTATGAAGTTATTACAGAGCTCTTAAGTACCTCGGACTATTTAATCTGAAGTCACTTATAACTTATAACACTCCAACACTTATATAGTGTTGGAGAGTTTATGCTAATTCTAATATGATAATAACCCTATGTATTTTAATTAACACGCTACCGATAGACTGATTTAAAAATATATAAATTATTTTGTATTGCTGTATTTTCGTATTTTATATCAAATTAGGTGAGTATTATTTCTAATTTATTTCCTTCAGTGAAGCCCGTTTTGGGGAAATATATTGACGTGATTTTAATTCAAAGAAAATGAAGCCGCTTCTCTTTCAGGCAGACTTATGTAATTTAACGTAAACTCTTTGTGTATACTAGGTTGGATTCCCCGCGGCAGGATAGTAACGTTTGGGCACTGTTCCTTACACCTGATGCCTCTGTTCACCTAGCAGTTGCCTTTTTGGAGAAGGTCAGTGTTTAGCTTCAGTGATGGACTTCGATCCTTCCTGTCCCCGAAAATGGGAATATGTTTTTTATTTACCTGAATTTACCTGAGAGCCACAAACACTAGTGGCCTCGACGAGGACAGGAAGCCGGCGGCGTGTCGAAAGTGCCCCCATTTGCCTTGATGATCTTTTCCAGCTTTACTTTAAAAGTAAACAGAGTTAAAAGTAAGTAATTTACTTTTATTTTAAAGTAAACATTTACGGCTTTGGCGGTAATTTACTCATAATTTTCCCAGACGTAATTAAGATAATTATTACGGTGGGTTTTGAAGGCTTCATCAGGGCATACAAGATAATGGCGGCTCCCGGGTAAAAGGTTTGGGTACTTTTTAAGTGATATTTATTAAATGAACTCCAGGGGCCAGATTCACGAAAGCACTTACGAATCTGAACATCTTTCCTCAATCTTTGGCGGCTTTGTTTACAATTATTAAACAGTTAATGAGCTCCGAAGCACCAGGAGACTGTTTATAACAATAACAACAGTTGATTGGCAAGTTTTCATGCTTGTAAACTGTTTAATAAATGTAACCAAAGCCGTTAAAGATTGAGGAAAGATGTACACATTCGTAACTGCTTGCGTAAGTGCTTTCGTGAATCTGGCCCCAGGCTACGTATTGAAACATTGTGCTGCACCGTGTAGGAGTTAGGTCAACCCATGTAAGATATTCCCCAAAATGTGCAGCCATGCTGGGGGCAGATAGTGTCAAGGAACACGTCTCAACACAGATGGGAATACGAGCTGTTTCCTAATGTTTAACCACGAAAGTATCTTAAGTGAAACAGAAGATATATGACTTGTTATCATACTGTCTTGTGTACTCCGTCTGGGAGCAGTAGGGTCTCAAGTGCAGAAACATTATGACGTCAGTATATTCTGTAGAAACATTGTGACGTCATACTGCATATCGTATGTAAACACACAACGCTTTATCGATTATTTTCGTTATGTAAACATAGGATAGGATGGATTATGTGTTGTGAAGAATAGTGATGACGTAGGGGAGTACATTCGTTCCTCAGGTCTTAGACCCTACTCTTCCGGGCCGCCTGGACATCAGCTCACCCGTTCCTCTCACCTCTCACTAAGAGAGAGACATCCGATTATTGATAAAGATTAAGCCACACACAAGAGGTGGCACGGGCATGAATAGCCTGTAAGAGAGACATCCGATTGATTGATTGATGAAGATTAAGCCACCCAAGAGGTGGCACGGGCATGAATAGTCCGTAAGTGGTGGCCCTTTCGAGACATTACCAGTATCAAGAGCTGATACTGAAGATCTGTGGAGGTGCGACTGCACCCTGCGTGACGGGAGATGTCTCCCGTGAGAGACATCCCAGGTGGCTCTACTCATGTATCTTCCCAGGTGACTACAGTGGACAGGTGTAGATAGTAGGTCACTGTTACGTGCCTGGGAAACAGATAACCCAACTCACACGTGTTAAACTGTGAGTTGTAGAGACCTCCTCTAGGTGGTAGAGGAGGTAGAGACCTCCTCTACCACCACACCACAGTGTGAGGTGTGGTGGCAGAGGAGGCCTCAGTGTGAGGTGTGGAGGCAGAGGAGTCCTCAGTGTGAGGTGTGGTGGCAGAGGAGTCCTCAGTGTGAGGTGTGGTGGCAGAGGAGTCTTCAGTGTGAGGTGTGGAGGCAGAGGAGTCCTCAGTGTGAGGTGTGGTGGCAGAGGAGTCCTCAGTGTGAGGTGTGGTGGCAGAGGAGTCCTCAGTGTGAGGTGTGGTGGCAGAGGAGTCCTCAGTGTGAGGTGTGGTGGCAGAGGAGTCCTCAGTGTGAGGTGTGGTGGCAGAGGAGTCCTCAGTGTGAGGTGTGGTGGCAGAGGAGTCCTCAGTGTGAGGTGTGGTGGCAGAGGAGGCCTCAGTGTGAGGTGTGGAGGCAGAGGAGGCCTCAGTGTGAGGTGTGGTGGCAGAGGAGGCCTCAGTGTGAGGTGTGGAGGCAGAGGAGTCCTCAGTGTGAGGTGTGGAGGCAGAAGAGCCGCAGGTGTCGCCTAACACACGCCTCCTTCACCTGAGGGGTAGTGTTTAGGTGGGTGGCCATCAAGGACACAAGAGCAGGAACAGGAACGACTACCATGTTTTAGATCACGCGAACTGGGAGCACCTGGGATGGCATGCAGTAAGGGGGCGTTGAGTCGCTCCCGCTGCTCAAAATAAAATCCAAATATGAGGTTCAAGGTGATGGGAGCTCTCCTCCACGACACCTCTGGTGTGAGGTGAACTACTTGATACATAAATAGGGAAAGAGAGATATAGTGAACGTTGGAATGGGAGGGTAGATTGGGCACTAATTCCTAACTTCTCATCCATGGTTGTATATCGATTGGATGATTGTGTTCTAGGGAAAACTGGTAGGATAAAGCTTTGGATGAACTGTAGGAAGGGAAAGCTCTGAGACTGAAGCTAGTCTTGGAGGTGGTGTTATCCTGTACCGGCCTGGGTGAGGATATGTGTGCTTGTGCGGCCATCACGGAATTAATTCAGTCCTTCACAAAAGGTCCCCTGCTGCGTTATGAAGAACATTATACTCTCCCTGTCTGTCTGTCTTTAAGTGTGAGGTTATCTTGAGATGATTTCGGGGCTTAGCGTCCCCCGCGGTCCGGTCTTCGACCAGGCCTTTTTATTTGTTACACATCTCCCAGGAAGCAGCCCGTAGCAGCTGTCTAACTCCCAGGTACCTATTTGCTGCTAGGTGAACACATGGGCATCAGAGTGAAAGAAACTCTGCTCATATATTTCCGCCTCCGCCGGGGATCGAACCCGGGACCCTAGGACTACGAATCCCGAGTGTTGTCCACTCAGCCGCCAGGCCATCCCTGAGAGGCACAAGTGTTTGCAGTCATTCTGGGAGGCACAACTACACAACCAAAGGATGGCACAGGTTATCTTGAGATGAATTCGGAGCTTTTTAGTGTCCCCGCGGCCCGGTCCTCGACCAGGCCTCCACCCCCAGGAAGCAGCCTGTGACAGCTGACTAACACCCAGGTACCTATTTTACTGCTAGGTAACAGGGGCATAGGGTGAAAGAAACTCTGCCCATGGTTTCTCGCCGGCGCCTGGGATTGAACCCAGGACCACAGGATCATAAGTCCAACGTGCTGTCCGCTCGGCCGACTGGCTCCCCGGTTGCGCAATTCCCCCAGCAGACCTGGGCGGGCAGGACCGGCGCAGCTGTGCATTAGTGTTCACATCCGGGAGGAGGTGAAGTAGAAGGAACAAGAAAAGGAGGTGAACAAAAATAAGATAATAAATCAGGAGGAGACATAAGCGCCGTTTGGTGTCCCTGGGGCTCGAGGTCTGAATATTTAGATCACTATTTACGGCATCAGTGAAATTCCTCTCAGTGGCGCGTCCTCCCGGGCTTTGGCTCGGCCTTACACTCTGGATGTATGGCTTTATTTATAAATTTGTACGTAGATTTGATTGTATTTGTATTTGTGGGATTCTAGTGCATTGTTGCATGTGTGACCTACGAATACGAGGCACTAATGTGATGGCTTGAGTCCTCCTGTGTACTCATTATTATTGCTCTCGTCAGACTCTACTGTTGAGTTACTCTCATGGGTTACTCATGTATGGTCCACTTCTCTCATGACTTACTCATATATGGTCCACTTCCCTCATGGCTTACTCATGAATACTCCACAATTTTACATGTTTACCATGAATCTTGTGACTTTTTTTTTGGGGGGGGGTGAGGGGAGTAAAGAGGAAGGAGAGGCATAGGTGAAGGGAAGTATAGAAGTGGGAAATACAGTGAGAGGTATGACAGCAGGCGGGTGACATAGCCCGGGATATTTAGAATCTTTATCCAGGCTAAGCCATCATAATGAGGCTTGCACTCTTTGAATTTTACCCCTTATGTCCGTAGAGTTACCCACGGACACACAGTTCCCTGCAGCATGTAGGGTTTTATATAAATAATATTTCTACGCCGACTGTCAGTGTCAGGTTAAACAACTGGCTGACCTCCACACAAGCAGAACTAGCGGCATTACAACTAGCTACCAGAACACTACAAAACATTGGAGGAGGAATAATATTTTGTGATTCAAAGTCTACTCTTCAAGCAATCGAAAACGTCTCCTGGAAGATCGACAGCAAAAACCTCATACAAGCTATTATAAATGACCTAATCGCTGCACAGAGTAAAGGGTTTTGAATCTCCTTTGTATGGATACCATCACACATAAATATAACCCATCATAATGAGACAGACATTGCAGCCAAATTAGCGTGTAACAAAGATGAAGTTGAATTAGATCTAGGTATCACCATCTCTGCTGTCAAAACTATATTGTTCCCAATACTCAGGTGATAGGAGAGAATTTACTGACTCCCAATGACCTGAAAGCACCAGTATAAATAGCTATGATTTCTTCAGATCTGAATCTTTTGCTTATGGGCAGCACAAAACGTGGACCAGACTGTGCGACACAGTGGTTGCCAGGATCAGGTTGGGTTACCGTTACCTGTGGCAGGTGGCTACAGGTGACGGATCGCCCAATCCTGAGCACTCCAGGTGCAAACTCTGCGATCAGGAACTGCAGCATGATCTCCCACACTACATCACCGAATACCCAGTTATCAGACCATTCAGACCCGTTGGCATGAGGTACCTGGAGCTTTGCAATTACTTTATTCAGTCTCGTGTTCTTGTGGATATCCTCATATTGCATCCAAAATTTGCCAGTGCAGGCTATTAAACATATGGCCCTGTATGACTAACCATCCTGCGAGATGGGGACTTGTATTACCACTGCTACCTTATTCACTCTTGTGTTGATGATATCCTCATAATGCTTCTGGAGTCTGCCAGTGCAGACTACTCATCACGTGCCTCTGTATGACTAACCATCCTGTGTGATGGAGACTTTTAGCATCACGGAGCTAGCTTTTTGACACTCCCTTTCATATAGTCTAGGGCAGCGGCACAAATGAAGATGTACCTAAATATGTTAATAAAAAAAAACTGTAGTTTCCTGCGCTGTGTTGATGGTTCAACTTGTGTTTCGTTCTGCGTCAAGTGTAACTATGTGCAGCATTGCACAAAAATTGACGTACTAAGCAATTAGATAGTAGAACTTTGTACTGTTCACTTTATAGTCCGAGAAAATGAAGCTAAAAAAAAAGTTTATGCGTCGGCCTAGTATAACACACATATGTACTAGATTAGGCCTCATATAGTGTGTATTAGGCCTTGGAAAGTTAGGTATATATATATATATATATATATATATATATATATATATATATATATATATATATATATATATATATATATATATATATATATATATATATAATATGTGTGTGTGTGTGTGTGTGCACATACACATATTATATAATGTGTGTGTGTGTGTAGAATTAAAGCAGTTAACCAGCTATATTATTCTACATGTGTAACAAATGAGACTATTGCTTAACTTAAACATCGTAATATTAGAATATTAATTACATGGAGAGAGAGAAACCCATTACATCGTATGACACTTTTATTGATAAACTGTGTTGTGAAGGAACATTTTTTTTTTTTGCCCACCAGTGATTTGGCATTTTGGTTAGTTGCCAGAGATGAGTTATTTATGGGTTTTGATTGTTGCGGGGTTAGGTGTTGACTGGCATTATTTACAGGTGTTGAGGCCGCTAGCGGATACCACCCGTCGTCCGTGTCCAAGTGAAGTGAGATGAGATGACTTGAAGTGCTTGAACGTGCTCAGCTGACGTGCTCAGTTGATGTACTTGATGCTCAGCTGATGTACTTGGTGCTCAACTGATGTACTTGGTGCTCAGCTGATGTACTTGGTGCTCAGCTGATGTACTTGGTGCTCAGCTGATGTACTTGGTGCTCAGCTGATGTACTTGGTGCTCAGCTGATGTACTTGGTGCTCAGCTGATGTACTTGGTGCTCAGCTGATGTACTTGGTGCTCAGCATGTGTGTGTGTTCTCCATACTCTTGGTTCTGCACTGAGGGGAACTTCATGATTAATTGGTCGATTGAGATTTCTGCGGCAGCCTAACATAGAAGTCGTCGTCGAACTCTGAGCCTACTTCTCCTCTTAGATTTGCTTTTTTCCTGACACTGTCGCTGACTGAAGATATGAATGAAGCAAAAAGTACAAATTCCTGTCGTGAAACAATTTAAACGACCACAAAATAATTTGGGTTGCATTTAGCTACATGGCTGAACATATGTGAACTTCAATACACTTCAACGCATTCTCAGGTTTGTTCGTTACTCATCATCGCCGTATTGCAGTGAACACGTAGCCATACTTGTCGGCATTGGTGGCAGCGTACTGATGGAGGAGCACATCTCCCACTACCTGGGTGCTGTGGCCACTGGGCGAGCCGGAGGGCTGGCCACTGGGAATGCCTCCTGCAGACTTGGTAGCAGCAATGGGCGTCACACTTTTGGTGCCAAGCGTAGCCGCGGTTTTGGTCCCGACCGCGGTTTTAGATTCAGAAGTAGAATATGCGAGGGCATTAGCTTCTTCTTCAGAGAGCACTGGAAGGATCCTGCCAGTAGGAATACCGCTCTCAGCCCCCGGCACTGGGGGTCCAACAGGGAGAGAATCTCCTTCGGCAATGTAACCGGTTTCAGCGCCAGCGATGTAGTCGATCTGACGATTGATTCCATCATCGGCAATGAAAGAATATCTTCCCTTGACAGAGTTTTGGGCATCGGCAGATTCAGAACGGGAGCTGCTGGAAGTATCGTAGGAGAAGCTGTAACTACCATCATCAGCAACAGAGCTTCTGATCTGAGCGACTTCGAATGGCACGGCTGGACTGCTTCTAACGCTAGCCACGCCGTAGCCTGGAGCAGCAGCAGAACTAGAGGGTGGTGCAGAGTAAGCAGGCGAAACGCCTCTGGAGGAAGCAGCAGATGCTCCAGAAACAGGTGAACCAACATCAGCTACTGGAGCAACAGGAAAATGAGCGCCTTCGGCAACGAAGCCGGTGTCAGCTCCCGCTCTGTAGTTCACAGTCAGCCGTTGGTTGCTGTCTGCAGGAATGAAGCTGTATGTTCCTTGTACATTGAGACTGGGATCAGCACTCTCAGAGCGAGAACTGTCTCCAGCATCATAACTGAAAGAGTAGGAAGCATCAGAAGCGTCAGAAGCAGAAGCTTCTGAGGAGACCTTTTGGCTGGCGATTTGGCTTGAAGGACTAGCAGGTGAGCTGGGGGCACTGTATGCTACAGCAGGAGGGGAACCAGCAGATGTGGAAGCCGCTAAAGCATTGGCTTCTTCTTCTGAAAGTACTGGAAGGATCCTGCCAGTAGGAATACCGCTCTCAGCCCCCGGCACTGGGGGTCCAACAGGGAGAGAATCTCCTTCGGCAATATAACCGGTTTCAGCGCCAGCGATGTAGTCGATCTGACGATTGATTCCATCATCGGCAATGAAAGAATATCTTCCCTTGACAGAGTTTTGGGCATCAGCAGATTCAGAACGGGAGCTGCTGGAAGTATCATAGGAGAAGCTGTAACTACCATCATCAGCTGCAAAGCTTCTGACCTGAGCCGCTTCGAAAGGCACGGCTGGACTGCTTCTGACGCTAGCCACACCAGAGCTTGGAGCAGCAGCAGAAGTAGAAGGTGGTGCAGAGTAAGCAGGCGAAACGCCTCTGGAGGAAGCAGCAGATGCTCCAGAAACAGGTGAACCAACATCAGCTACTGGAGCAACAGGAAAATGAGCGCCTTCGGCAACGAAGCCGGTGTCAGCTCCCGCTCTGTAGTTCACAGTCAGCCGTTGGTTGCTGTCTGCAGGAACGAAGCTGTATGTTCCTTGTACATTGAGACTGGGATCAGCACTCTCAGAGCGAGAACTGTCTCCAGCATCATAACTGAAAGAGTAGGAAGCATCAGAGGCAGAAGCTCCTGAAGAGACCTTTTGGCTGGCGATTTGGCTTGAAGGACTAGCAGGTGAGCTGGGGGCACTGTATGCTACAGCAGGAGGGGAACCAGCAGATGTGGAAGCCGCTAAGGCATTGGCTTCTTCTTCAGAGAGCACTGGAAGGATCCTGCCAGTAGGAATACCGCTCTCAGCCCCCGGCACTGGGGGTCCAACAGGGAGAGAATCTCCTTCGGCAATGTAACCAGTTTCAGCACCAGCGATGTAGTCGATCTGACGATTGATTCCATCATCGGCAATGAAAGAATATCTTCCCTTGACAGAGTTTTGGGCATCGGCAGATTCAGAACGGGAGCTGCTGGAAGTATCGTAGGAGAAGCTGTAACTACCATCATCAGCTACAGAGCTTCTGATCTGAGCGACTTCGAAAGGCACGGCTGGACTGCTACTAACGCTAGCCACGCCGGAGCCTGGAGCAGCAGCAGCAGCAGCAGATGTAGAAGGCTGTGCAGGCTGTGCAGGGTAAGCAGGTGAAATGCGTCTGAAGGAAGCTGCTCCGCTTGTAGGTGTGTCAAAGTCAGCTTTTGGAGCAACTGGAAGATGAGAACCCTTGGCAATGAAACCTCGGTCATCAGCCGTGTATTCTAGTTTGATATCTTCTCCTGTTGCATCCTTGTACCCAAAGGCTCCGTTTACGTTTCCAGGGGCTTGGGACATTGATTGTTCATAGATGCCATCACCGGTGTCATAGCCATACTTGTAGGTACCATCAGAGTGGAGGACGTAGTACTGGGCGCGGGCTCCCAGGCCCACATTGGGGATAGCGTAATCGGCATCAGACCGTGGAAAACTCAGCGTGCTAGCCACCGCCAGAGCCAACACAACCTGCGGGAGGATACAACCAGTTATTACAACACTATTTGATTCAAATTAATCTTTATCGTGTGCGGTGTCCCTTCTTCAGCACCGTTTCTTAAAATGATCTTTCTCATTTACTCATTATTTTTTTTGTTTCTACTGCTAAATTTTCTTCTAAATTTCTAATCGATACATTGAAAACTAAATTTTCTTTGTATATCACTTTGGCAACTGGAGAGCAGTCAAACTTGGAAGAAATATCGAATGCTTAACACTTAATTTTAATCAGTACTTTATTTAAACAATATTACCAAACTAATATAATGGTAAAGTATTATAATTTGAGATTTGAGATAAGTCTAGCCTATGAATCGTTCATTAACCATAATTAAAATTTTGTTGACTCAACCAAAGAAAATGGTGAGCATTAGCAACCAATTCATTTCTTTACTGCTACACGACACAAAATTGGTCTCTAATGTTTGCACTTCCTCAGCCTTGACGGTATTGCGGAGTACGGGAACCTAAATATTCCAGTGTTGTAATTCTGGTTTAATTAACGATCCCAGAGAGCTAAACCCCAACATTTGTATTCATAACATCAGACCAGCACACCATGGACCCATCACTGCTCCACTAGACCAACACACCATGGACCCATCACTGCTCCACCAGACCAACACACCATGGCCCCATCACTGCTCCACCAGACCAACACACCATGGACCCATCACTGCTCCACCAGACCAACACACCATGGCCCCATCACTGCTCCACCAGACCAACACACCATGGACCCATCACTGCTCCACTAGACCAACACACCATGGTCCCATCACTGCTCCACCAGACCAACACACCATGGCCCCATCACTGCTCCACCAGACCAACACACCATGGACCCATCACTGCTCCACCAGACCAACACACCATGGCCCCATCACTGCTCCACTAGACCAACACACCATGGCCCCATCACTGCTCCACTAGACCAACACACCATGGCCCCATCACTGCTCCACCAGACCAACACACCATGGCCCCATCACTGCTCCACCAGACCAACACACCATGGACCCATCACTGCTCCACTAGACCAACACACCATGGCCCCATCACTGCTCCACTAGACCAACACACCATGGCCCCATCACTGCTCCACCAGACCAACACACCATGGACCCATCACTGCTCCACCAGACCAACACACCATGGCCCCATCACTGCTCCACCAGACCAACACACCATGGACCCATCACTGGTCCACCAGACCAACACACCATGGCCCATCACTGGTCCATCAAACCAACACACCATGACCCATCACTGGTCCACCAGACCAACACACCATGGACCCATCACTGGTCCACCAGACCAACACACCATGGCCCATCACTGCACCACCAGACCAGCACACCATGGACCCATCACTGGTCCATCAAACCAACACACCATGACCCATCACTGCTCCACCAGACCAACACACCATGGCCCCATCACTGGTCCACCAGACCAACACACCATGGCCCCATCACTGGTCCATCAGACCAACACACCATGGCCCCATCACTGCTCCACCAGACCAACACACCATGGCCCCATCACTGCTCCACCAGACCAACACACCATGGCCCCATCACTGCTCCACCAGACCAACACACCATGGACCCGTCACTACTTTAGCAGACTGTCACAACATGGTCCCATAAACATGTCCCTTTGCTTCACCACCATGCCAAGTGCCTCATCAATATGTCCCGTGCCCCATCAAAATGCCCCATGCCCAATCACTATACATCATGCCCCTTCACTATACAACTTTCCCATCATTATGCTCCATACAATGACTATGCCCCGTACCCCATACCCCCATAACTAGGGGCCTCGTATCCCCATCACTGTTACAAATCTCTATCACTATGCCTGGTGTTGCCTCACTTGTGACCGTGTTCTCAGTACTTACTAAGCTAGTCCAGGTCCACATGTTTTCGGCGGAGGGGCGAGGATGCCAGTGCCGGACTGTGATCTAGTTAACCCTTATATACCTGGCCAGCGTGTGTGTGTGTTCGCGCATGCGTGCTCCCTGAAGATGACCAGTGAACGCTCCCTATCGTCGGCGTCACACTCATCATTCAAGGGAATTCTCGGCCCAGATCTGCAGCTGTGTATTCGTCCCCTTCTACTAGATCGCTCATCTCACCTGCAATCTTCGATAGTCTTGTCGGACTAATATAATTGAAAGTTTTCATGAAACGTCTGGTACGCGAGGTACCGAAGCTTTGCTGAAAGGTTCGCTCCATATACTTTTCTCCCCTTTCTGTCCAGCTAAGAAAAAAGATTCCAGTGGACGAAGATATTATAAAACAGCGTTCGTCCTTCCCAACAGGGATTTTTGGTAAGTGTAGTAGCGGGTCCAAGGTCGCGGCCAGGGTATCTCTCTGGTGCCCTACATGCAGGCCCGGTGGTGGCGCGCCACACTCACTTTCATTCCCATCTTGGAGACGCAGTCACCGCGGCGGCTCCTGCTCCTGCAGGTCGGCGAAGCACCACGCATGAGGTCACAAGTGTGCGCCTGAGAGCCCGCCATCTACAGAAGGAGGAAGGGACTTCGAGGGTGTGTGTTTGGACGTATTGCGGCTGTTGGGTGTTGTTTCTACGTCAAGATTGTCCTAAATCACCAAAACGCTTCAAAGTTGAGAATTCAGCTCTTCGTACACTAGACAGATGAGAACTCTGCTCTCCACTCTCTAGACAGATGAGAACTCTGCTCTCCACTCTCTAGACAGATGTGAACTCTGCTCTCCACTCTCTAGACAGATGAGAACTCTGCTCTCCACTCTCTAGACAGATGAGAACTCTGCTCTCCACTCTCTAGACAGATGAGAACTCTGTTCTCCACTCTCTAGACAGAACTCTTCTCACCATACACTGGTAACCGACTAGAATAAAACCCTATATAAACAGAAGATAGCTCTGGTTTCCACACAATAGTCACCCTGGGCTTCGAGTCACACCCTGGGTCGTGTCACCCCAAATGTCCTGTGAGTATAAGGGCGCCCTGAGAGTGTGAGTATAAGGGCGCCCTGAGAGTGTGAGTATAAGGGCGCCCTGAGAGTGTGAGTATAAGGGCGCCCTGAGAGTGGATACAATAATCGTAAAGTTCCACCACAAAGTCAAGAGCCGCCACCTCAACGCGGACGTATCTAAGAATGTTTACAAAAAGAAAGACACTGAAGATGGTACAATCGACTTGAAAATGGTCCAGGACGGACCGAAACGTCGTCGTCCCTTCACCTACTAGTGTGTGGTCTGGTCAACTTACTTCAGCCACCTTATTGTGACTCCTCGTCTGCACTGAAGATGGTAGACTCCCGCCCGCTGACTGGCTGGCGCGCTGAGACTCGAGATGCGTACCTGCATAGTAATGTCTGATGATACCGCGGTGGAGACGTAGGGAATACTTCACCATTGTGTTGTGCGTGTGTGCGGGTGTCCGTCCCAACATGTTCAACTCCACTCTGTGGGTCAGAGTTCGCCCACACTCATCCCTTCACATTCGCTACTCACATAAATAATAAAATAACCTTAATAATTAATATGATAATTATTATAATAATCTTTCTTTGCTATCCTGTTTATTCAGCAGAAATTCCTAGTACTTCACTAGAGGGAAAATAATCCCTTTGATTATGACTGTATTTGGTTATATTGAAATCAACAATATTTTAGGTGTAATTAATTACTAAATCATGCGTAATTTGACCTGTAATATACAAATGACATATTTTTGAAAAATGTAAATCATTAGGACGTTTGGTTTATTAAAGAATAGCAAATATATGAAAGATTGTGAATGAGTCGGGTGTGTGATTGGTTCAACACGCTCCTATGCAGACGTGATCAGCAGCTGGAGCCTTGTGTGTATATAACACCTGCACCCACTGTCCCAGCTGCCAACACCAGCTGGAGCCTTGTGTGTATATAACACCTGCACCCACTGTCCCAGCTGCCAACACCAGCTGGAGCCTTGTGTGTATATAACACCTGCACCCACTGTCTCAGCTGCCAAGACCAGCTGGAGCCTTGTGTGTATATAACACCTGCACCCACTGTCCCAGCTGCCAACACCAGCTGGAGCCTTGTGTGTATATAACACCTGCACCCACTGTCTCAGCTGCCAAGACCAGCTGGAGCCTTGTGTGTATATAACACCTGCACCCACTGTCCCAGCTGCCAACACCAGCTGGAGCCTTGTGTGTATATAACACCTGCACCCACTGTCTCAGCTGCCAACACCAGCTGGAGCCTTGTGTGTATATAACACCTGCACCCACTGTCTCAGCTGCCAACACCAGCTGGAGCCTTGTGTGTATATAACACCTGCACCCACTGCTCCAGCTGCCAACACCAGCTGGAGCCTTGTGTGTATATAACACCTGCACCCACTGCTCCAGCTGCCAACACCAGCTGGAGCCTTGTGTGTATATAACACCTGCACCCACTGCTCCAGCTGCCAACACCAGCTGGAGCCTTGTGTGTATATAACACCTGCACCCACTACTCCAGCTGCCAAGACCAGCTGGAGCCTTGTGTGTATATAACACCTGCACCCACTGTCTCAGCTGCCAACACCAGCTGGAGCCTTGTGTGTATATAACACCTGCACCCACTGTCTCAGCTGCCAACACCAGCTGGAGCCTTGTGTGTATATAACACCTGCACCCACTGCTCCAGCTGCCAACACCAGCTGGAGCCTTGTGTGTATATAACACCTGCACCCACTGTCCGAGCTGCTAACACCAGCTGCGCATCTTAATGCTTCTCACTTGCAAGTTCATGCCTGCCAGTGCATCACCTAAGAGTTAACCATATGCCAGTACACCAGCTGCCAGTACACCAGCTGACAGTACACACCCTGGCTGCTTGGTTTAGATAAAGAGGAACCAGTCAGTGAAGTGAAATTGACATTCGTCTTCACATGTTACTATGCGGCAGTTAACAAGGAGATTACTAATTGTCACGGACCTTGCTGGGTGAAGATTCACACGGCTCTACTCTTTTGTTTCATGCCTCAACCTTTGATGTATGATTTTTTATTTTTTATTTAATTTTTTCTCCGGTCTCGTGGTGTAGTGGTGAGACACTCGCCTGGCGTTCCGCGAGCGCTTTGTCCTGGGTTCGTATCCTGGCCGGGGAGGATTTACTGGGCGCAAATCCTTAACTGTAGCCTCTGTTTAACTCAACATTAAAATGGGTACTTGGTTGTAACAACGATTCTTCGTAGGGGTCGTATTCCAGGGACCATAGGATTAAGGACTTGCCTGAAACGCTACGCGTACTAGTGGCTGTACAAGAATGTAACAACTCTTGTATATATCTCAAACAAAACATAATAATAATAATAAAATCATACATCAAAGGTTGAGGCATGAAACAAAAGAGTAGAGCCGTGTGAATCTTCACCCAGCAAGGTCAGTGACAATTAGTAATCTCCTTGTTAACTGCCGCATAGTAACATGTGAAGACGAATGTCAATTTCACTTCACTGACTGGTTCCTCTTTATCTAAACCAAGCAGCCAGGGTGTGTACTGTCAGCTGGTGTACTGGCAGCTGGTGTACTGGCAGCTGGTGTACTGGCAGCTGGTGTACTGTCAGCTGGTGTACTGGCAGCTGCTGTACTGTCAGCTGGTGTACTGTCAGCTGCTGTACTGGCAGCTGGTGTACTGTCAGCTGGTGTACTGTCAGCTGGTGTACTGGCAGCTGGTGTACTGTCAGCTGGTGTACTGTCAGCTGGTGTACTGGCAGCTGGTGTACTGTCAGCTGGTGTACTGTCAGCTGGTGTACTGGCAGGTGGTGTACTGTCAGCTGGTGTACTGGCAGCTGGTGTACTGTCAGCTGGTGTACTGGCAGCTGGTGTACTGGCAGCTGGTGTACTGGCAGCTGGTGTACTGGCAGCTGGTGTACTGTCAGCTGGTGTACTGTCAGCTGGTGTACTGTCAGCTGGTGTACTGTCAGCTGGTGTACTGGCAGGTGGTGTACTGTCAGCTGGTGTACTGTCAGCTGGTGTACTGTCAGGGATGAACTTGCAAGTGAGAAGCATTAAGAAACGCAGCTGGTGTTGGCAGCTGGGACAGTGGGTGTAGGTGTTATATACCCCGTCACAACTCTTGACTACACCCTGTCACACCCCGTCACAACTCTTGACTACACCCTGTCACACCCCGTCACATCTCTTGACTACACTGTCACCCCCGTCACAACTCTTGACTACACCCTGTCACACCCCGTCACAACTCTTGACTACACCCTGTCACACCCCGTCACAACTCTTGACTACACCCTGTCACCCCCGTCACAACTCTTGACTACACCCTGTCACACCCCGTCACAACTCTTGACTACACCCTGTCACCCCCGTCACAACTCTTGACTACACCCTGTCACACCCCGTCACAACTCTTGACTACACCCTGTCACACCCCGTCACAACTCTTGACTACACCCTGTCACCCCCGTCACAACTCTTGACTACACCCTGTCACACCCCGTCACAACTCTTGACTACACCCTGTCACCCACCCGTCACAACTCTTGACTACACTGTCACCCCGTCACAACTCTTGACTACACCCTGTCACCCACCCGTCACAACTCTTGACTACACTGTCACCCCCGTCACAACTGTTGACTACACCCTGTCACCCCCGTCACAACTCTTGACTACACCCTGTCACACCCCGTCACAACTCTTGACTACACCCTGTCACCCCCGTCACAACTCTTGACTACACCCTGTCACACCCCGTCACAACTCTTGACTACACCCTGTCACACCCCGTCACAACTCTTGACTACACCCTGTCACCCCCGTCACAACTCTTGACTACACCCTGTCACACCCCGTCACAACTCTTGACTACACCCTGTCACCCACCCGTCACAACTCTTGACTACACTGTCACCCCGTCACAACTCTTGACTACACCCTGTCACCCACCCGTCACAACTCTTGACTACACTGTCACCCCCGTCACAACTCTTGACTACACCCTGTCACCCACCCGTCACAACTCTTGACTACACTGTCACCCCCGTCACAACTCTTGACTACACCCTGTCACCCCCGTCACAACTCTTGACTACACCCTGTCACCCCCGTCACAACTCTTGACTACACCCTGTCACCCCCGTCACAACTGTTGACTACACCCTGTCACACCCCGTCACAAATCTTGACTACACCCTGTCACCCCCGTCACAACTGTTGACTACACCCTGTCACACCCCGTCACAAATCTTGACTACACCCTGTCACACCCCGTCACAACTCTTGACTACACCCTGTCACCCCCGTCACAACTGTTGACTACACCCTGTCACACCCCGTCACAAATCTTGACTACACCCTGTCACCTCCGTCACAACTCTTCACTACACCCTGTCACAAATCTTGACTACACCCTGTCACACCCCGTCACAACTCTTGACTACACCCTGTCACCCCCGTCACAACTCTTGACTACACCCTGTCACCCACCCGTCACAACTTTTGACTACACCCTGTCACCCCCGTCACAACTCTTGACTACACCCTGTCACCCACCCGTCACAACTTTTGACTACACCCTGTCACCCACCCGTCACAACTTTTGACTACACCCTGTTGCCAATCTTCGCTATACCCTGTCACCCTTTTGTCCCACGAGTTTTAAACATCACACAAGCAAATAAAATTAACTTTAGAAGTAAAGTACTGTAAAATGGTGTAAAAAACTCATTTAAGGTAAACTTGCTATACTCTTTAATGAAACATGTCTACAAAAATACTGCACAATATATATATATATATATATATATATATATATATATATATATATATATATATATATATATATATATATATATATATATATATATAATATCTAGGTGAAGTGAAACAATTTATTTACAGTTACATTTAATATCACATAGGTACATATGTAAGTGAACTATTAACTATTTAACTATTTAGATGTTAAATGCAAAGTCAGCATTTTGTAACAATTGCTCTGAAACAATTGATTGTAGGCAAAATGCTTGATAAATTGTACTTCAGAAATCGACACAGAAGAGTAACTGCAGATAATTTTCACAATATATGATTTTCGGCACGCAGTATTCAACAGTCGTTATGAGTTATCCAACAACAGTCACATCTTATCGACAATCACCACATTTTATCCAATAATCGTCACAAAATATTCGGCAATCAACAATATCGAGGAGCATCAATGGTACCAGAACCTGCTTAACTTGTGCGAGGTATGTCACTGCCCTCCGCCACAAACCCGATTTTGGCTCCCGCTCTGTAAGTTACTCTCTTTGTTTGTCCGTCTGTAGAAATGAACCTATAGTTACCTCTAATATTCAGGTTAGAATCTGCATCTTCAGAGCGTGAGCTAGTCGGAGTATCATACTTGAAGGAGTAACTTCCATCCCGAGAAATAGAACTTCTCACCTTAGCTTCACCTTGTGTTCCAGTAACGGAGTACTTAACTACTTCTGGAGAAGCTGGTACTCCACCAGAAAGCTTTGGAAAAGCTGGTGATGCAGCGGAAGCAACAGGAATTGAGTCACCTTCAGCGACAAATCCAGTTCCAGATCCCGCTCTGTAACTGATGGTTCTCGTGCGTCCATCGTCAGCACGGAAGCTATACCTTCCCTTCACGTTCAGATTTGAATCGGCATCTTCCGAGCGAGAGCTGGTGGGTGCATCGTACTGGAAGGAGTAACTTCCATCAGGAGATGAAGAACTTCTCACCTTAGCTTCGCCTTGTGTTCCAGTGATAGAGTATTTGACTGCCGCTGGAGATGCTGCTGATCCAATAGGAACAATAGGAGCAACAGGAATTGAGTCACCTTCAGCGACAAATCCAGTTGTGGATCCCGCTCTGTAACTGATGGTTCTCGTACGTCCATCATCAGCACGGAAGCTATACCTTCCCTTCACGTTCAGATTTGAATCGGCAGCTTCCGAGCGAGAGCTGGCCGGTGCATCGTACTGGAAGGAGTAACTTCCATCAGGAGACGAAGAACTTCTCACCTTAGCTTCACCTTCTATTCCAGTAACGGAGTACTTAACTACCTCTGGAGAAGCTGGTAATCCACCAGAAGGCTTTGGAGAAGCTGCTAATGCAGCTGGAGCAACTGGAATTGAGTCACCTTCAGCGACAAATCCAGTTCCAGATCCAGCTCTGTAATTGATAGTTCTCGTACGTCCATCATCAGCACGGAAGCTATACCTTCCCTTTACGTTCAAATTTGAATCGGCATCTTCAGAGCGAGAGCTGGCGGGTGCATCGTACTGGAAGGAGTAACTTCCATCAGGAGATGAAGAACTTCTCACCTTAGCTTCGCCTTGTGTTCCAGTAACGGAGTACTTAACTACCTCTGGAGAAGCTGGTAATCCACCAGAAGGCTTAGGAGAAGCTGCTGTTGCTGCGGGAGCAACTGGAATTGAGTCACCTTCGGCGACAAATCCAGTTCCAGATCCAGCACTGTAACTGATGGTTCTCGTGCGTCCATCATCTGCACGGAAGCTATATCTTCCCTTTACGTTCAGATTTGAGTCGGCATCTTCAGAGCGAGAGCTGGTGGGTGCATCGTATTTGAAAGAGTAACTTCCATCAGGAGACGTAGAACTTCTCACCTTAGTTTCGCCTTGTGTTCCAGTAACTGAGTACTTAACTACCTCTGGAGAAGCTGGTAGTCCACCAGAAGGCTTTGGAGAAGCTGGTGATGCAGCTGGAGCAATAGGAGCAACAGGAATGGAATCACCTTCGGCGACAAATCCAGTTCCAGATCCAGCTCTGTAATTGATGGTTCTCGTACGTCCATCATCAGCACGGAAGCTATACCTTCCCTTTACGTTCAGATTTGAATCGGCATCTTCAGAGCGAGAGCTGGTGGGTGCATCGTATTTGAAAGAGTAACTTCCGTCAGGAGACGAAGAACTTCTCACCTTAGCTTCACCGTGTGTTCCAGTAACTGAGTACTTAACTACCTCTGGAGAAGCTGGTAATCCTCCAGAAGGCTTAGGAGAAGCTGCTGATGCTGCGGGAGCAACTGGAATTGAGTCACCTTCAGCGACAAATCCAGTTCCAGATCCAGCTCTGTAACTGATGGTTCTTGTGCGTCCATCGTCAGCACGGAAACTATACCTTCCCTTCACGTTCAGATTTGAATCGGCATCTTCAGAGCGAGAGCTGGTGGGTGCATCGTATTTGAAAGAGTAACTTCCGTCAGGAGACGAAGAACTTCTCACCTTAGCTTCTCCTTGTGTTCCAGTAACTGAGTACTTAACTACCTCTGGAGAAGCTGGTAGTCCACCAGAAGGCTTTGGAGATGCTGGTGATGCAGCTGGAGCAACAGGAATGGAATCACCTTCGGCGACAAATCCAGTTCCAGATCCTGCTCTGTAACTGATAGTTCTCGTACGTCCATCATCAGCACGGAAGCTATACCTTCCCTTTACGTTCAAATTTGAATCGGCATCTTCAGAGCGAGAGCTGGCGGGTGCATCGTACTGGAAGGAGTAACTTCTATCAGGAGATGAAGAACTTCTCACCTTAGCTTCGCCTTGTGTTCCAGTAACGGAGTACTTAACTACCTCTGGAGAAGCTGGTAATCCACCAGAAGGCTTAGGAGACGCTGCTGTTGCTGCGGGAGCAACTGGAATTGAGTCACCTTCGGCGACAAATCCAGTTCCAGATCCAGCACTGTAACTGATGGTTCTCGTGCGTCCATCATCTGCACGGAAGCTATATCTTCCCTTTACGTTCAGATTTGAGTCGGCATCTTCAGAGCGAGAGCTGGTGGGTGCATCGTATTTGAAAGAGTAACTTCCATCAGGAGACGTAGAACTTCTCACCTTAGTTTCGCCTTGTGTTCCAGTAACGGAGTACTTAACTACCTCTGGAGAAGCTGGTAGTCCACCAGAAGGCTTTGGAGAAGCTGGTGATGCAGCTGGAGCAATAGGAGCAACAGGAATGGAATCACCTTCGGCGACAAATCCAGTTCCAGATCCAGCTCTGTAATTGATGGTTCTCGTACGTCCATCATCAGCACGGTAGCTATACCTTCCCTTTACGTTCAGATTTGAATCGGCATCTTCAGAGCGAGAGCTGGTGGGTGCATCGTATTTGAAAGAGTAACTTCCGTCAGGAGACGAAGAACTTCTCACCTTAGCTTCACCGTGTATTCCAGTAACTGAGTACTTAACTACCTCTGGAGAAGCTGGTACTCCTCCAGAAGGCTTAGGAGAAGCTGCTGATGCTGCGGGAGCAACTGGAATTGAGTCACCTTCAGCGACAAATCCAGTTCCAGATCCAGCTCTGTAACTGATGGTTCTTGTGCGTCCATCGTCAGCACGGAAACTATACCTTCCCTTCACGTTCAGATTTGAATCGGCATCTTCAGAGCGAGAGCTGGTGGGTGCATCGTATTTGAAAGAGTAACTTCCGTCAGGAGACGAAGAACTTCTCACCTTAGCTTCTCCTTGTGTTCCAGTAACTGAGTACTTAACTACCTCTGGAGAAGCTGGTAGTCCACCAGAAGGCTTTGGAGATGCTGGTGATGCAGCTGGAGCAACAGGAATGGAATCACCTTCGGCGACAAATCCAGTTCCAGATCCTGCTCTGTAACTGATAGTTCTCGTACGTCCATCATCAGCACGGAAGCTATACCTTCCCTTTACGTTCAAATTTGAATCGGCATCTTCAGAGCGAGAGCTGGCGGGTGCATCGTACTGGAAGGAGTAACTTCCATCAGGAGATGAAGAACTTCTCACCTTAGCTTCGCCTTGTGTTCCAGTAACGGAGTACTTAACTACCTCTGGAGAAGCTGGTAATCCACCAGAAGGCTTAGGAGAAGCTGCTGTTGCTGCGGGAGCAACTGGAATTGAGTCACCTTCGGCGACAAATCCAGTTCCAGATCCAGCACTGTAACTGATGGTTCTCGTGCGTCCATCATCTGCACGGAAGCTATATCTTCCCTTTACGTTCAGATTTGAGTCGGCATCTTCAGAGCGAGAGCTGGTGGGTGCATCGTATTTGAAAGAGTAACTTCCATCAGGAGACGTAGAACTTCTCACCTTAGTTTCGCCTTGTGTTCCAGTAACGGAGTACTTAACTACCTCTGGAGAAGCTGGTAGTCCACCAGAAGGCTTTGGAGAAGCTGGTGATGCAGCTGGAGCAATAGGAGCAGCAGGAATGGAATCACCTTCGGCGACAAATCCAGTTCCAGATCCAGCTCTGTAATTGATGGTTCTCGTACGTCCATCATCAGCACGGAAGCTATACCTTCCCTTTACGTTCAGATTTGAATCGGCATCTTCAGAGCGAGAGCTGGTGGGTGCATCGTATTTGAAAGAGTAACTTCCGTCAGGAGACGAAGAACTTCTCACCTTAGCTTCACCGTGTATTCCAGTAACTGAGTACTTAACTACCTCTGGAGAAGCTGGTAATCCTCCAGAAGGCTTAGGAGAAGCTGCTGATGCTGCGGGAGCAACTGGAATTGAGTCACCTTCAGCGACAAATCCAGTTCCAGATCCAGCTCTGTAACTGATGGTTCTTGTGCGTCCATCGTCAGCACGGAAACTATACCTTCCCTTCACGTTCAGATTTGAGTCGGCATCTTCAGAGCGAGAGCTGGTGGGTGCATCGTACTGGAAGGAGTAACTTCCATCAGGAGATGAAGAACTTCTCACCTTAGCTTCGCCTTGTGTTCCAGTAACGGAGTACTTAACTACCTCTGGAGAAGCTGGTAATCCACCAGAAGGCTTACGAGAAGCTGCTGTTGCAGCGGGAGCAACTGGAATTGAGTCACCTTCGGCGACAAATCCAGTTCCAGATCCAGCACTGTAACTGATGGTTCTCGTGCGTCCATCATCTGCACGGAAGCTATATCTTCCCTTTACGTTCAGATTTGAGTCGGCATCTTCAGAGCGAGAGCTGGTGGGTGCATCGTATTTGAAAGAGTAACTTCCATCAGGAGACGTAGAACTTCTCACCTTAGTTTCGCCTTGTGTTCCAGTAACGGAGTACTTAACTACCTCTGGAGAAGCTGGTAGTCCACCAGAAGGCTTTGGAGAAGCTGGTGATGCAGCTGGAACAACAGGAGCAACAGGAATGGAATCACCTTCGGCGACAAATCCAGTTCCAGATCCAGCTCTGTAACTGATGGTTCTCGTACGTCCATCATCAGCACGGAAGCTATACCTTCCCTTCACGTTCAGGTTTGAATCAGCATCTTCAGAGCGAGAGCTGGCCGGTGCATTGTACTGGAAGGAGTAACTCCCATCAGGAGATGAACTTCTCAACTTAGCTTCGCCTTGTGTTCCAGTAACAGAGTACTTAACTACCTCTGGAGAAGCTGCTGATCCAATAGGAACAATAGGAGCAACAGGAATTGAGTCACCTTCGGCGACAAATCCAGTTGCAGATCCAGCTCTGTAATTGATGGTTCTCGTGCGTCCATCATCAGCACGGAAGCTATACCTTCCCTTCACGTTCAGATTAGAATCGGCGTCTTCAGAGCGAGAGCTCGTCGGTGTTTTATAGTTGAAGGAGTAACTTCTGCCAGATCCATATCTCTGGAAAACATCTCCAGAGGGCAGCAAGCTGTATGTGATGCCGCTTCCGCTAGTGATGTCATATAACGGATACGTGGTTTGTGGCAGCCTCTGCGCTGTGCCCACTGCCACCACCAACAGCACCGCCTGAAACATTGTTCATCACATTGAGTATATGCATGACATTCGGAAAGTTATAATTTTCTGATTCTATTTAGATTTGTAATAGATTAAATTGCTACTTCAGTTCACTTTATTGGATTTATCAGTTCACTTGTTTTGGATTTATCGTTAGTGTCTTCATGACTAGATTATTTATTTGAGGAATCATTTGAATAAGTGTTCAGTATTAATTACAAGAATGATTGACGTATTTCCTACTCATAATACACAAAAATTTAAATTTGAGAGCTCATCTGGACCGTAACTGCCATGAATGCTAATCCAATCATTTGTTTGTGTTGATCAACGTTGGGAATTTATTTTAACACTTGCATCCGCTGAGGGCAAGTGTTGAAATATATATTCTCGCCTTTGTTTTTGTTTTTTTACGTTATCGTAACCAACGTTTCAAATTCAACCTATTAATAAAAGTACGTGTATATTATATTCACTCACAAATGTTCACGTTTTCTCTGCACTGGACTCGATAGGTTAAGAAGGTTGCTTGGGTTCGTTCGTTATTGGTTAGGCTAAGAAGTTGGATATTTTACGGAGTATAAATCAAGAGAACTTGCTAAATAATGAATACTTGTAGCATATATTTGGTTAAACGTACAGAGAAGTACTTGTGGACGTTTTGTATTACTAAATTAGCCCAAATGGTATACTGAACAACGGAAAAATAACTAAAGAACCTAACCTGACCTACGTAATCCTAGGCCTAATATTTTCTAAGGCCTAATTTAATACATATATGTGCAAGACTAAGCCTAGAAATTTGTAAGTGTTGTTTTTTTGTGCCCTCTACAAAATGATTAGCACAAGTATTGTTGGCTGTAACAGTCTAATTTTGTACGTTTGACCAAATGGCTGCTATAAGTACTCTCATCTTAGAAGGATAAGTTGGGCTCACTCCTCCTAAACCCAGGAACATAATAAACATTAACACATAAATGTTAAACAATATTTGTTGTACTGGCTTCATCCGAGCTTCTCATAGAAGATCAAAAGCCTCATCCAACAATATTTCACAGTGGCCGCCGGCTCGTTCTCACTCTCTCTCTCTCTCTCTCTCTCTCTCTCTCTCTCTATATATATATATATATACAGTATATGTATTATTCAATTGACGATCACGAAACACTGATCATTTGTATGCGGAAAATCCACAAAGAAATGGGGAAAAAAGATGAACGTTTCGGCCGTTTTACAGTCGTTGTCCCGTTCCTTTCACCATTTCTTTGGGGATTTTCCGCATATGGAAAGCTTGAATGGTCCCCAAGCCAACGTGCATCAAAAAACTTTTGACCCCTGAAGGATTCGAACCCTGTCAGCCAGGGCCTCCATGCCCTCTTGGCATGTCCAGTACTCTATAACCACTTAACCACAGACTATGTAAATATTGGAAAGTCGTTTGACTTTTAACACCAGTACCCGTGACTATTGTTATGAGGCCGTCAGGCTGTTCACAGACTCCTGGGCTCATTGTCATTCCTAATTACGTTGCCTTATATCGAGATTTATGTCACACATTCTGTGGTGTATTGCAAAGCAAAAACTCATGCAAAAACCCAACTTGCCCTTTTTTGGGTTTTGTGGAATAATTGTCCTGAAAAAACGGGACATGTGGTTTAGACAATATCATTAATTTGTTCACCTTTTAGTGAATTTAGGCAAGTTCAAAAACGATTTTGTTTTAATAAAGTTTGCCACCCACCATAGTAAGAAGAATCAAGAAGGACCATTATTATTTATTACTATTATTATTACTATAACTTGGTAATAGTAATTGATTAACTATATTGTTAATCATTATTACTAGCAATTAAGAACATACACTTAATCTTATGTACCATAATAGAATGTATTCTTTGTTGAAGATTCACCCAATTATACGCATAATCTAAAGCTTTAAAGATACCCAATTATCAGGAGAAATCGCTAAGGCGCAGTTGACTAACTAGCGTCAAGTGAAAAAAACTAGTTTCGTTCATTTGAAAATGAGACAAGTGAGAAGCCTCACATGACTCGGGAAGATAGTGAATTTTACTGCATCAGTTAGTTAGTTGTTTGATCTGAGCTGTTAATAGATTTGCAAGGCCCTTCGCCTGTTTGGTGGACTACAGTTCACTTAATCTTATGTACAAGTGTACACACTTGTGTACATAAGTACACACTTATATAGTGTACATAAAGATCTTATGTACTCTCGCTATCAAGTTTTCCAGTGTAAGCTCTCGCTATCAAGTTTCCAGTGCTAGCTCTCGCTATCAAGTTTCCAGTGCTAGCTCTCGCTATCAAGTTTCCAGTGCTAGCTCTAGCTATCAAGTTTTCCAGTGCTAGCTCTCGCTATCAAGTTTCCAGTGCTAGCTCTCGCTATCAAGTTTCCAGTGCTAGCTCTAGCTATCAAGTTTCCAGTGCTAGATATCAAATTCAAGCAGAATGCGGATCAATACTCACTATGAGAGGCGAAGCAGCAGCCATGGAAGAAGAAGCCTACTCAACTGACACAGTGCTCTACATACATACCCCTTTATATCCCGGCGTGGGGCGTGGTCGTACCTGATGGCCACTCCTCCTCCGGCCGGGGACGCTACCGCTCCTGCTCATCTCAACAGGTTTTTGCGAGTACAGGTACTGCCCTGGAGAGCCTCGGCCAGAGACAATAAACTCACCGACATTTTCAGATATTCTCATCCTCTCTGGCCTTGATATAATGGAAAATTAACTCTGAAAGACTAATCTAATTAGCTATAAAATGTTATTGTGTCTGGTATTGATTTGTAAAATATTCGTTTCTGATTGTAATGATTTTAGGGAGTGGTAGTAAAATGAATTAGATTTTGATGTGATATCAAACGTGATATGAGCCCTTCGAGATATTAGAGGTAATATCAGTAATTTTAGGTCGTAAGTCAAGAGTGTTGCGGTTTTCATTGGTTTAGGGGTGGGGGGGGGGGGGGTGACGACCTTGATGGGATGGGGGAGGAGGATGAGGCGACCTTGACGGGATGGGGGAGGAGGATGAGACGACCTTGACAGAGTGGGGGGGGGTGAGACGACCTTGACGGGGTAGGGGGGAGGATGAGACGACCTTGACGGAGTGGGGGGGAGGATGAGACGACCTTGACGGGGGTGAGGATGGTGAGACGACCTTGACGGGGTGGGGGAGGAGGATGAGACGACCTTGACGGGGTGGGGGGAGGATGAGACGACCTTGACGGAGTGGGGGGGAGGATGAGACGACCTTGACGGGGTGAGGGGAGGATGAGACGACCTTGACGGGGTGGGGGAGGATGAGACGACCTTGACGGAGTGGGGGGGGAGGATGAGACGACCTTGACGGGGTGAGGGAGGAGGATGAGCCGACGTTGACGGGGTGGAGGAGGAGGATGAGCCGACCTTGACGGGGTGGGGGGGAGGATAAGACGACCTTGACGGGGTGGGGGGGGGAGGATGAGACGACCTTGACGGAGATGGGATGAGACAGCCTTGATGAGGGGACACGGTCGTGGGGGGGGGGCAGGGGGGGGAGATAGTTTTCGCCCTGACAAGATTAAAAACTTGTAGGAAACCGTAACGAAGCCCGGACCGCCTTGGGACCACCCTGGGACCACCCTGGGACCGCCTTGGGACCACCCTGGGACCGCCATGGGACCACCCTGGGACCACCCTGGGACCTACTCTGAGCTAGGGACCACTGTGGGACCCCAATGTGGTCAACTCTGGGCTGGAGACCGCCGTGGGACCTGGGACCTAACGAACCGAATTTGTGTGAAATGTTTAATTGTTCCAAAAAATTGTCTTATGAAATTATAAGGTTTTCATTGTATTGCATATGATTGCAATTGTATGTTACATGCGTCAAAACTAACATAGAAATTTCATCAAACCTAACCTAGCCTATCCAAACCTATCCTAACATAGCTAAATCAGTAAGTCATGTTCCTAATATAATATATTATTATTGTTAAATAAGATCCAATCTAGAAAGAAACAGTGGGAAGCCATTGTACCCATTGAAAACCAGATACCCATTCACTGCCTGGTAAACAGAGGCTACAGTTAAGGATTGGCGCCCAGTCAATCCTCCCCAGCCAGGATACGAACCCAGGCCAAAATGCTCGCGAAGCGCCAGGCGAGTGCTTTACCAATGCGCCACGGGGACTATTGCTTTACCAATCGGCACTATTGAGTTGGACAAACCGGAGAAACTATTTTTTAACTTATGTTGCAAAGACAAACTAACCTAAACTAACCCACCAAGGCCTAATACACGATACCTGAGGCCTAATAGAGTATATATGTGTGCTATACTAGGCCTAGAAATATTTAAGTTGGCTTTTCAACTTAATTTTTTTTAAGAATTCCTTACTAGTCAGTATACTACTATCTGAAAGCTAAGTACGTACGAATTCGTGACTATTGACGACCATCACTATAGTTACTATCTAAACAGGAGTTTAAGTTTATATAATTTATAATTTTATATACAATTATATATAATTATTTTATTTATATATATATATATATATATATATATATATATATATATATATATATATATATATATATATATATACATACATACATATATACATACATACATACATATATATATATATATATATATATATATATATATATATATATATATATATATATATATATATATATATATATACATATATACATATATACATATATTATAACCTGACATTTGCTGCAAGAACAAGTCTCATAAATTTCTGAATCCGGATTGAAACCGTTAATACACATTTTCCGTTACTGATGCCATCAGATCCAGACCATCATTGCTAACTACTTTTTTGCTTAAATTGGCCACAGTTTAATAGTGGCCTATTAACATACCTAAGATACAACTACATCTTTATAATCTTCCTCGAGGACTTGACTCCATAAACAAAAACTATTTTATAATTTACAACCTAGGAAGACGTATATACTGTATGCTGTTAACGAAAGGAACTTCATATACAGTATGTCATTATATATAAATATATATACAGTATTAGAATGTAATTGAAAGTCATATATACAGTATTAGAAAGGCATTGACACGCGGTATTGTTATAGTTTTCGGGGTAAAGAATTTACTAGGTTTTATATATATATATTTTTTATTTATTTAAGAACCTCGCTGGAGCCCTAATATCCCCCAATTTCCAAAGCTTTGCAGCGAAATGGAAAACATTGTAATTTTTCAACATTCAATAGAACCGTAAATAGGAAACAATGCTCTTTAGCATACTCTGGAACCATAAATAGGAAATATAATGCTCTTCAGCATACTCTGGAACCATAAATAGGAAATATAATGCTCTTCAGCATACTCTGGAACCATAAATAGGAAATATAATGCTCTTCAGCATACTCTGGAACCATAAATAGGAAATATAATGCTCTCCAGCATACTCTGGAACCATAAATAGGAAATATAATGCTCTTCAGCATACTCTGGAACCATAAATAGGAAACAATGCTCTTTAGTATATTATGGAACCAGAAACAATGACCTGGGAACTTAAAAACACGCCAGGCATAAAGAGAGAGAGATGGATATAACAATAACTAGACTACGGCTGGGACTCACCAAACTAGCAGCATACAGCTGTATGTATGATCAATATAGACATAGATGATCATTGCATTCGCTGCCATTTTCCAAAAACAATTTGGAAAATATTAATATTATCACCTCCGTTGCTGCAGATATCATAGCGCCAGAATCAATTTCGGTTTCAGAGAACTTATCACCCTAAAAGAACCCTTCAGCATCCAGAATATATATTAGAACTCTCATTATATATAAAATATCAGACAATCAAAACATTCGGTAATATTTTCGGTCGACGAAAACAATTAAGGCTTAAGCAATTAAGGCTTAATTAATGTTAATATGGCTTAATCATGCAATTTAAGTCACCCGGACAACCATACATAGAAAACGTAAGGCTGGCAACACAGTATCAGTAGCGATCAGCTGACACCATCAGTTGATCCTCATCCAGTTGTCGCCTTTTGTGTGTAGGGGAAAAGGCCGGTGCTCGCCTCCCTGAGGGACTCCTGGGACTCCTTATCTGCCTGCCAGTGTGTGTGTATCTGCCGCAAGACGCCTTAGTTTCCGCCGACAGGCAACGTATGTATAGCCACAAGCGTGGGTGGACGGGCGTGGCTGGACGGGAGTGGGTTACATCTGGCCATGCGACCGTCACCGGGTGCACGTCACCAGCATCAAGGTACGATAACCAGGTCCTGGTGACCCTCTCGTCAAGGTCGTGGGGCGGTGACGCCCACCCGGCCTCTGGTGGTTGTGGTAGTGGTGTTGTGGTTGTGTTGGTGGTGGTGTGGTTGCGGTGGAGGCCGAGGTGGTACTTATCTACGACTATCTTGCCCGAAACGCATTGCGTAATAGTGGCTTTAGGCATTGTATGTACTAGCTCTATCTATATATCAATCCATTAATGTAACATCACTTGTATGTAAGTATGTACCTTACCTGAATAAACATATTTATTATTATTTATTTATTTATACGGGGGAGTGAGGTGGAGCTTTTTTATGCCCGCCTACTGGCCTCGTTGTACCTGTTGTTAGAATTTAACTCTACTGACGTTCAAATTCTTTGTCGAATCTGGTCGTAAAATTGTGATTGGAGGTGGCTTCCAAAACTTCTTCTCGGTGCATTCCACTTGTTAACCTTCGAGTATTTCCTTACATTTCTTTGACTCATTTGTGTTTCATATCTCTACGTTTGTCTTCTTGCTCTTTGTTTTTTTTTTTAATTTAAAGGAGGCTGTCCAAGTTAATTTTGTCTATTCCTCTCGTTATCTTGTATGAAGTTGTCATGTCCCCTCTGTTACATTTGATTCCTAGAGTTGTGAGGTAAAGTTCCCTTTTCCCTTGATCTGTCCTTGTAGCTTTGTCCCATCAATAGAGGAATTAGTCTTGTTGCAAACCTCTGCATTTTTTTCAAGTTTAGTTTTAAGTTTCACAATGTACAGGCTCTATAGGTAATCATAAAGTCCTTATTTAGGCTTTTAATTGCCTCTTTAATTATGTTTGCCAACGTGCCATATGCTGTTATCTGGTTTATATGCCTTCGGTGCTAGTGCTGGTATTATATCCACTCCTAAGGCTCTTTTATTTTTCCTCCTTATTCCTGACTCACCCCTTCCGCTAGGGAGGGAGTGAGCTCAACCACTTGGGTTGGACGGTAGAGCAACGGTTTCGCTTCATGCAGGTCGGCGTTCAATCCCCGACCGTCCAAGTGTTTGAGCACCGTTCCTTCCACCCGTCCCATCCCAAATCCTTATCCTGATCCCTTCCAAGTACTGTATAGTCGTAATGGCTTGGCGCTTTCCCCCTCATAGTTTCCTGCCCTTTCTTCCGTTAGGTCATTCACATATATCAGGAACAGCAACGGTCCTAGAACAGAACCTTGGGAACCAGAGTCGATCGGCCGAGCAGACAGCACGCTGGACTTGTGATCCTGTGGTCCCGGGTTCGATCCCGGGCGCCGAAGAGAAACAATGGGCAGAGTTTCTTTCACCCTATGCCCCTGTTACCTAGCAGTAAAATAGGTACCTGAGTGTTAGTCAGCTGTTACGGGCTGCTTCCTGGGGGTGGAGGCCTGGTCGAGGACCGGGCCGCGGGGATGCTAAAGCCCCGAAATCATCTCAAGATAACCACCACTTGTTCCACCGCTATAACTCGACTCCTGCTTTTTTACTGTGACGCTCTGTTTCCTGTCCTAATGTTACTCTCTTATTAACCAATTCAGTATTTACCTAGTTACCCTTTTACGAGAAACAGATTTGAGAATTCCGCTACAAAAATAACGCTCAGTAATCATATATCCGATAGGCTTCGTATTTTGAAAACTGTAGGGGGATTTGGTCAAAATCTGAGAAAGCGCAGTTTTCACTAATTTGCATATATTCGGTATTAAAAAGTCGTAATTTAAAACTTCAAATATGTGCAATCACCCTGAATTCCACTCAAATAATTGTCAAAAATAACAAGTTAAAGATAGTTGAATTTTCAAACATTTCAGGGAAGGGAGGAGACATATTCACAATATACATGATTCAAAATAGACAAATGTCAAACCGTGGTGACCGGTGAACCGATCACCAATTTCCTGTTTTTAATTATGTCAGCAGCTCCCCCCTTAAGCACTATAAGGGAAGCACATGCACACACATTTCAAGCAGCCGTCTGAAAATATGACACCAGTTATTCATGTATAGTTTGATCACGTGGCGTCTGCGTTTGACGTTCCTTAACAGATAACATACCTAGGAGGCCTAGCAAAAGTTAAAGGTCACTCACTCCCAGGAGAGTTAGGCCATCATGCAGAGTCAGGAGGCGCGTTTGTTTAAGATTCAGCTACTGGGAACAAAACGTTTCAATTAGCACGGGCTATGGTGAGCCCGTACTGGACTTATCTGGCACAGGAGTGGGGCTGTGAGGCGCGTCGTTCCCACAGAGTTTAAGTGCCGAGTGATCCCTGGTGTGGGTGCGCGCGCACGCGTACCAACATACATGTGACTTCTCGCATGGTACAAGACACTGATGATTGGACAGAAAATGGGCAGTTTAACATTAGTTCATGTAGTGGTAATGGCTTGGTGCTTTCTACTGATAATTACCTTGCTTTTACCTTAATCCCCAGATAACTTTAATAACGGGTAATTATTTTGTTATAATAATTGTTATGTATTTAATTGATGGTGTCGGAGAACAGCAAGCCAGTTTATATATACAGTTTGTTAGGCTTATATCCCGGTCTCCTCCCCCCCCCCCCCGGTGGGCCAATTTACTAACCCCCCCTCCCCACTCTCCCCGTGGGTTAATTACAATCAACAAGCTGACTAACTCCTAGTTACCTATTTACTGCTAGGTGGACAGGGGCTTTAGGTGAAAAGAAACGCGCCCAACCATTTCTGCCTCTCCGGGGATTTGAACTCAGAATTTTCGATTATGAGTCGGGAACGTAGCCGACTGTACTACCGGGACCCCTAAATGAATAACTTATATTTGTCATTATAATGATTATTATATCAGAAATAATTTGATTTGTATTCTCTTTTTAAATTATTTTATTATAATTAATAATATTATCTGATTATTGACACGGGTTCAGTCGTTTAAGGATTCTCAGTCGTTTAAGATTCTCAGTCGTTTAAAGTTCTCAGTCGTTTAAGGTTCTCAGTCGTTTAAGGATTCTCAGTCGTTTAAGGTTCTCAGTCGTTTAAGGTTCTCAGTCGTTTAAGGTTCTCAGTCGTTTAAGGATTCTCAGTCGTTTAAGGATTCTCAGTCGTATAAGGACTCTCAGTCGTTTAAGGATTCTCAGTCGTTTAAGGACTCTCAGTCGTTTAAGGATTCTCAGTCGTTTAAGGACTCTCAGTCGTTTAAGGATTCTCAGTCGTTTAAGGACTCTCAGTCGTTTAAGGACTCTCAGTCGTTTAAGGACTCTCAGTCGTTTAAGGATTCGTAAAAGTTGACTTGAGACAGTTTTGGTGGAGTGAGGAGAGAGGTGTGAGGCCGTGCTGGGACCTGCTGGCCTTGGCTGGTCCACTCTCCTCCCCTGAACCGCTCCACACACACATGGTATCAACATGAACTGGAGAAACAGGTCATGTTGGTTCCTAACGTTACCCGCCTCCAAACTTATATTACTAAAATATTAAAATAGCTCAGTCTATCCCCCCTTTATCGCGCGCTCGCGTTTTCTGTTGAGTAGAAGACTTGGGCCGCCTGGTAGCAGGGAGTTTAATTTAAAGCTTTCTCATCCCATCACTTATTTCAGGCCTTGTCCTACTACTTTCCTCTGGAACACTACCCCCTTGTTGGTCTACAACCATGTTTCTGGGTTCACGCGGAGCGAGTGTCTATTTTGTGTGTGTTTAATTTTAGTCTTTAATGTTTTTCCTGCCCAAAACGCTTTGCGTAATAGTGGCTTTAGGCATTGTATGTACCAGCTCTATCTATAAACCTAGCAATTTTTGTAAAAATCTCTTGTGTGTATGTACCTTACCTGAATAAACATTTATTTATTATTTATTTACTATTTGTGTCTGCAAAATCGAGCTATTTGCTCTTGGATCTCGCCTTTCTAACCGATCTATTTTTCCTCTATAGTGTCTACTACATATATTTCTCTAACACACATCCCCAGCACGTAGTAGTTGTCTAACTCTCAGGTACATATTTACTGCTAGTGGAACAGGGACATCAGGGTGAAAGGAACTGCCCATTTGCTTCCGCCTCCGCCGAGGATCGATCCCCGGACCTTAGGACTACGAATCCCGAGCGTTGTCTACTCAGCCGTCAAGCCCCCTGTGTGTGTGTGTGTGTGTGTGTGTGTGTGTGTGTGTGTGTGTGTGCCTCTCCTATTATCTCTTAGTTTTTAGTTCCGTAAGCCATTGAATAGCATTATTTGCTATTCTATAGCATATATGCTATATTGAATAGCATTATATTTAAGCCTATCTTTAGCTATTTTCTAACTGCTAAGATGTACCCCGTAACAGCTGTCTAACTCCCCAGGTTAGTTAGACGGCTGTTACTGCTAGGTGAACAAAGGTATCAGATGAAAAGAAACGTAGCCCAGTCGCTTCCAGCCTACCGCGGGGCGTTGAATTAGCGATCGTAAGTTGTCAACAGATTCCTTAGCCCACAGCGCCACAGAGTTCCCTCGCCCTCTACTACTCTCCTCTCTGACCAACTTGTAGTCTGATCCAGTGTGACAAAAAGTTGATGTTAGTTGCCTTGAAAGTGAAGGTCAGGACGGTGGGTTGATGAGTTGATGATGCTCCAGTGGTTGTGGCTTGATGAGTGTTGATGCTTCAGCCTGGATGATGATACTGGGATGGTTACTTTTGGGTCAGTGAGAGGTGGCAATGGATGAATGGCTGTGAATGGATAGTAGTTGATGGTTGACCATAAACGCATGCCTCTTGATGATTGGCAGTCGATGGGTGGATGTCTGGATGAGGAGGGATGTGGTGGTGGATAGTGATCAGGGGCAGCAGTGTTGCAGGTGGGTGAGGTGACAGTGGGCGGGGTGACAGCGGGCGGGGTGACAGTGGGCGGGGTGACAGCGGGCGGGGTGACAGTGGGCGGGGTGACAGTGGGCGGGGTGACAGTGGGCGGGGTGACAGTGGGTTGGGACTGAGGAAGGAGGTGGTGGGGAGGGTGAGGGTGGGTGGTAGCAAGGTTTCAATGAGTGGTT